CCTTAAGTACATACAGCAAAAAAAAAAAAAATATATATATATATATATATATATATATACACACACATATATATATATATATATATATACACACATACACACACTATTGATACAATGCTATCAATAGATAGGTCATTATAGTTAGATTATTAGCACTAGTTTGCAAGTTTTTAGATAACACTATGTTTTTAGAGGGGAAAAATAGAGATTTAGAAATAAAAAGACAATTTCTTTCAAGAGGCCCTCCTGACAGAAACTTCCTCCCTTATTCTTATTTAGTTCCTCAATTGTTTCCTTGTCATTTGGCTTGGTATTTAGAATACTTAAAAAGAAACAAACTAAAACCCTTGGTAGTTTGACCTGAATCCAGATTTGCAGATGTAGATTCATGTCAAAATCATTGCTTCATTGCACTTGGACAATAGCTTGCTTAATAGAAGAGGAGGGATAACCAGACTCTTACTTGATTTAAGAGTCAAGAAAAACAAAACCTCCGCTGAATAAAGGCTAGTTGGTGATCTATCTTGAAAGTAGCAAGATATCTTTTTTTTTTATTTTAAATGACAGTCATTTTTACATTATACTTGGAGTTCAAACTTTTTTTTTAAGTTTATTTATTCTATGAGACAGAGAAAGGGAAAGATAAGCACTCTCTATAGGGTCTCACACCATGCCCTCCTCCCCAACCCTTCCCAGCCAGCTAGGATCATGGCATATACAGGTTGACTTAAGAACCATTCCCTGATCTTCCATGTGACTTCTAGCTTTGCCCTGCTGCTGGGCCAAGTTTCAGAATTTTATAGGAAATCTTTTTTCTCTGTGTGTCTCTGTGTGTCACCTATAATGATATATGCAAGAAAAGCCAGATATCAATGTGAACCGAGTACAGGTCCCCTTGTGTATTACCTAGATCCTTAGTTTTTCTTTTTTTTCCCCTTGGTTCTTTGCCTTGTAACATTTCATTGCTTTTTTAGTTACCATTCTTTCAGAGTTTGGACAGTATTCCAAAACACACTAAAGTATGTTAGTTGCTTTGAAGAATTTTTATTCTACCCAGGGGTGTTAAAAAAAAGAGAGATTGAAATTGTGATTTAAAAGATAATGCTGTAAAAGATTATAAGCTACTTTCCTATTACTATAGATAACTAAGAGTAGATTCACAGCATTTCCTTTTTTGTCTCATCTAAAAGCATTTCCAGCCCAGTTAATGTTTGTTGTTCATGTTGTTCAGATTTCATTATGGTCTTTCTCCTGCAGTTTTTGTGGTTCTTGGAACTTGTATTGCAGTGCAACTGGGGACAAACCCTGACTGGATGTTTTTTTGTTGTTTTGCTGGAACATTCATGTTCTATTGTGCACACTGGCAAACGTATGTTTCTGGAACATTGCGATTTGGAATGTAAGTAATATTTAATAACGATTTTATTTCTCTTTTATGTAGAGAATGTTGTTTATGGATATTTGAGTATTAGTAATTGATCAGATCATTCAATTAGTTTAATAAATAAAAAATTCAAAACATTATAGCTATTTTCTAATAGTTTGTCATATGTTTATTACACTTTTTTTTTTTTTTTTTTTTTTTTAGATTTTTTCTTTTAGGGACTTTGACCACTCACCAGAAAGACAAGAAGAAGGCTAGAAATCACCCCAGGGGATGGCCATGCCACAATGCTTTCTCCATTCTTTTCTCGGGATTTTGGGCACATACTCAACAGGCCCAGCATGAGTATTTTAACAGCAGAACCTTTCAACCAATCTCTTTAAAGCAGTAGCCCCTTCTCACTCATTTCCATTTGTTTTTCCTACCGGCAAACTCACTTTTCCCCTTACCATTAATTCACCTTAACTCCATGCTTTACTTTGACATGTAATAATGCATTTTCAGGAAAGATAAGAGAGTTTCTAAGAGCAAAAGACAACTCTTATCTCTAAATATTCTAGCCTAATTAGGGTTTTTTTTTCCCCACATTGTTTTATTTATTTATAATTTTGAGAGGGTACAAGCACTCACAGAGAGAAATGGGGAAGGAAGAGAAAGCACCTTCTAATGGGGCGTGAGCATACCACAATTCTATCTCTGCCATTTCTCTATCCTTTGGGAATTTGGGGCACACACGTACATGAGCCTGATGTGTTTTGAAGCCTCTCAGGCTGGGATTCAGACCACAGTCAGCCATGTGGGGTTTGGCACGCTCAACTACAGGCCGCAGTGCCAGCCCTCACGTTGTTTTCTTTATGAATTTATAAAAGCTCAGCTGCTGGCAGTTCAGTTTACATGAGTAAGTATAAGTATCACAAATCTTATTTACGTACCTAAGTTATTTTTTTCCTCCATAGAGTAGGATTTAAAGAGAAAAATCCTGAGAAAAGACTGTATAGTTCATGAAATGTCAAAATAAAAATCTCTGATATCAGATGACAACATGTATCAATGAATTTTTTTAAAAAATATAGATCCTTAGTAAATTTTATTTTCTGGTAGGCCTCAAGCCAATCTAGAAGTTAAGCTGTTCACAACAAATTCAGCTCAGATAATTTTCCTAATTTTATCTAAATAGACCTTGAGATGTTCTTATTGCCGTAACTGAACAGTTACAACTTTAGATATGAACTATTTAACAAACATGTCTTGGAATAATTTCAAAATAGAGGTTTAGAGAATATGTTTGAAACCCATCTTTTTTTCTTAAAGAATTATTTTATTTAACTTTATTTATTTATTTATTTTTTAATTTGACCAGTAGGGGACAGAGTGAGACAGAGAGAGGAATTGAGAAAACAATCTGCCAGGGGTCCAGGACTTGAACTGAGGTCAGCCATGTGGTAGTTCAGCATCCTTACCATGCTACCTGCCTGTCCTCCATCTTTTTTTTTTTTAACTTGTTTTTATCTTTTTTAAGAATTATTTATTTTATTTTATTTGTTGTTGTTATTAGTTTGACCAGAGAGAGAGAGAGAGAAAGGGAGAGTGAGAAAGCAAACCTTTACGTCCAGGACTCAAACCACAGTCGCCCATGTGAGAGTCCAACACCTTAATCACTACACCACCTGCCGGTCCCTTAAAGCCCATTTTATGGTAGTAGTATCCTTATTGTTAGAGACACAGTCAGGAGTGTCCATGTAATTGTGTAGCTATGCATTCATCAGCACTCTATAAAATGATCAGGGCTCAGAAAGTATTGAAGAATTCTGATAGAAACTGAAACAGTGATTGAGAACATGTGTAGTTTTTTTCTCAATATTTTTATAGTTTTTATTTCAATAAGATATTCATAATCTTGGTATAGAAAAATAGAATAAAAATATATAAGTTTATCATGGTGAAAAATATATTCATAGTCTTTCTCTGTATTAGGTAAAATCACAAAGTGTGATAGACTTCTAAGGTTATTTAGTTGCCCTAAGTCATTTTTCATTTTTAGTGATGTTGCTGATTTTTAAAATGGCAGAACCGTCTAGATTACACATAGCTTATATTATGCTTCATTGGTTATTTTCTTGCAATTAACTGTCCAGTTGTTATTTTGAAAGTGTGTTTACCAACCAGACATACTGTATTCTTGTGCCCTGTCAAGTAATACAGCACCAACCATATGACAAGGGAATTGAAGGAAAGAGAGAATTAACCATGGAAGTATGGAAAAAGTAAATAGTGGTTTTAGGAGTGATTTGATACCACAGCTTTCTATCTTCTAGTCTTAAAATTCCCCTCATGGTGTTTTTCTGTAATGAAGTATATATTTGGAGAACTGCAAGTGGGTCCATATGGTTGGACCATAAGATGCCTGCAGAGGAATAGCAAGGGATAAGACTGGAGAAGATCCAGAAAATCAAGGGCCTTCTGGACTCTGCTAGGAAATATGGGCTTTTATACTGTATCTACAGGGAGCTTTCGCAGGACCTAAAGCAGGGAAATGACAAAAGTGCCTTTTGGAAAGATCAGTCTGGCAACCTGGGGTATGGATTGGGCTGTGGCAGAAGCATGAGACACATTAGGAAGCATCGGCCTAATTAACATGAGGAATGAGGAAGCCTAAACCACCTAAATGGTGGTGCTGTTGCAGAGAAGGGGATACACAGGGATTTAAGATGTAAGATGTATAAGTCTGTGTAGATGTAGGGAATGAATGAGAAGGCAGGTAGTAGAATGACTCCCAGTTCCCTTTCTTGGGGAATTGGGTGGGAAGTGGAGAAAGTACTACAGGAAGAGAAATCATTTTAAAGGGAAAGTTCTACCCAGAAAAATGTATGTGAGTCATTTTAGACATTGGAATATAATAAAATGAGCATAGTTTAGAAAGAAGCTCATGAAAATTAATTGAATAGCCAAACTAGGAAATGGAAAGCTGGATGAGGGATCAGTTTATAAAAAAGAACAATGTTAGATGCTGTCAGGACTCAACATGATGACAGAAAAGTGCACATTGAATTTGGCAGTATGAACCATCCATAGATCCTATATAATGATAGGGTAGGAGTCGGATTGTAGAGGTGAAAAGTAAAAGGAGTTATAAGTAGACCACTATTTATTATACATTATATAAGGATATGTATAAAATATGTGGCCGAAATGTAAGGCGAGAGGAATTGGTCAGAAGAGAGAATATGGATTTAAAGGAAGGTTGGTTTTGTATTTTTTTTTTTTTTTGGAAGGGATTCCTTTCTTCAGTTCTACTTCATTCAACTTGTTCATATATAGAAATACTATAGATTTTTGGATGTTGATTTTGTATCCTGACACTTTATTGTATTTGTTTATTACTTCAAGAAGTTTTTATCATGGCAAGCTATGGGTCTTCTAAGTATACCATTATGTCATCTGCAAATAAAGATATTTTCAATTCTTCTTTGCCTATTTGAATGTCTTTTGTATTAGTCTCTTTTCTGATTGCATTGGCTAAGATTTCCAGCACTATATTAAAAAGCAGTGGAGAAAGTGGCAGCCTTGTCGAGTACCAGGTTTTAGTGAAAAAGCTTTTAAGTATTTACCATTCAATATAATGTTAGCTATAGGTTTTTCATAAATGGCTTTTATTATGCTGAGAAATGACCTTCTATAGGATGATTTCTAACTTTCTCTCTCATCATCTTTCTCTGTCTCTCTCTGGCAAGCACACGTGCCCTATGGCAAACCTTTAAAAAACAAAAAGTAATTTTAATCAAAGCTTAATTTATGTTTTGGGGCCCTTCATATTTATTTATTTACTTAGAGGGTTTTTTTTTTTCCCTTAGAGTGAGTGCATTCACCGAAGAGAAAAAGAGACAGAGACAGTGAGAGGGAAAGTGAAAAATCGCCCCTTTCCCCAAGAGAAGACTGTGCTGCAATTCATTTTCTTCCATTCCCTTCCTGGGATCTTAGGCATGCACACATATGGGCCCAATGTGAGTTTTAAGCCACCGGGTCCCGGACTTGAACTGCAGTCGGCCGTGTGGGAGTCCAGCAATGTAATCACTGTGAAATCTGCTAGCCCCTTTGGGCCCTTATTTTGTATAAGGAAATACTGTAAGAGACCAACATGGTGGTGTGTGCCTATTACCCCAGCGATGAGGAGGTTGAGGCAGGAAGATAATGAGCTCAAGACTGGCATAGACAGCAAAGTGAAGCCCTGTCTAAAAAGAGCTGAGCAAGGCAGCCCCTACTAATCATGCTGGGATGGTCATGCCTCAGCCCCTTTTCCTCCATTCTCCTCTCGGGATCTTGGGCACGCACGCACACACACCCGGCGTGAGTTTAAGCCACCAAGTCTGGGACTTGAACTGTGGTCGACTATGTGGGAGTCCAGCAACATAGCCATTACACTAACTGCTGGTCCCAGTTTTGTATTTTTAATGAGACATTCTCAAGCAAATGGAAGAAATCCACTAGAATAGAGATTGAAGATGCTAGAAAACATTAGATGGAAAGAAAGGAAGGATGATTCATATACGGAGCAAGATAGCTGAGGATAAAGAACCAGAGGAGTTCCAGGGTAGTAGGTAGAGGGGCTAGGTGAGAGGAAACTGCCACTGAAGCGCGTCCTTTTAGTGCTGGAAAAGAAAAATATCTAGAAATAAGACGAGTTTGAATTTAGCGTCTAAGTTTACATGAAATATTAATATAATAAGAGAAAATTATATCTGATTTTCAAAAATCCAGGCTACAGCATTCACAGAGAAATGCTGTGAGTACTTTACATTTTAGGGAGAGTTACAAAATGCCAATGCAATGGAGGTGTATAGAACCCATATAGATACAGCTAAAGTAATCTTAAAAATACCATTTTAGATTATTATTATTATTATTATTTTTGGAGAGGTTTTTGCTATAGGGCGCATGCACTCGCCAGAAAGACAGAGAGAGACATAGAGTCAGAAAGCAAGAAATCACCCCTTAGAGGGGATGGCCATGCCGCAATCACTTCTCCTCCAGTCTCCTCTTGGAATCTTGGGCACGCACGTACGCACACGCGCCCGGCGTGAGTTTAAGCCACTGGGTCTGGGACTTGAACCATGGTCGACTACATGGGAGTTCAGTGGCATAGCCATTATGCTAACTGCTGGTCCCAATTTTATATATTTGAAAAGCATATAGAATAGGCAGATGTATAGTAGATTAAATATCAAAGCAAAGTTTGTATACATCGAGAAGAAATTCAAAATTTTATTTTGCTTATTAAGGAAAGAATAAGATCAACTCTCAAATACAGTTTGAGTAAAGAAATTTTAAAAATCACTTGCTTCTCTTACTCCTTAGAGGAAAGTGAAAGTCTTAAGGACATAGGAATCTTATGTTTAAATACTCTTGTTTTATTTTTATGTTTATACACATGAATGAAAAGAATGATGAGAATTTCTTTTTATATCTGTAACAAATTCTGGTGGTTATACTTTTAATAACCTTATAAAATAGAACGTTTTTCAAATAAGAAATTTTTGTTCTCTTTAGTCTCTTTAATGTTACTGTTTTTAATTGTTAATGAGTTTTTTCAGTATTTTGGGCAAAAGATTGCACAGGATTTTAATTCACCTGTAACTAAATCATTTTCACTCCAAGTCGAACATTGTGAGAAAACCTTAGTAACTACCTAATCCATTGCTTTCCTGAAATTATGAATTATATCTTCTGGCACGTTGCTCTGATCATGGTTAAAAGCTGCCTTGCTCAGAAAATATTAGTCCCTATTACATCTAGGTAGCCTGTATCCTCTCGATACTCCTGGACTGAAAAAGTAAAGATCTGATAGAGATGAGTACTATTCACTGGGATCCTTCCAGACCCAGCTTAGCTATTTAGCATTTTTATCAGCCTGGGTCTGAAAGATGGGAGAGTTAGAGGCTAGAATTTCTTGGAAGGATTGGGGTAGTTGAAGAAGGTCATTATTAGAAGTTGAAGCCCATTTGTAATATTTTGTAAAAATGTTCTTTAAAATGTTTGTGGGTTATACTAAATGGGAGAAATTACATTTCCTCTCTGGAGGTGTAAACACTTTATATTTTGATATTTTTCAATATGTAACTTACAGATGTGTATGTAGAATCATTCTTATAAATTAAATGGTTAGAATCCCTATATAATCTTTAATCAAGCTATATTTATGCAAAAGATGGATCTTTAGAAATCTTCCATACTATCTTTATTTGAATGATAGTATCAGAAAAAATTTTAATGGTCTTTTCAAGAGGAAAAAAGTTGGAAATTATAATAAATTGAACTCAGGTCAGTGTATCTTTATATATGTAATTGGACAAGATCCATAACCTTCAGCGGGCCTCATTTCCTATGTAAAATAAGTGTTGGGGCCAGCTAGTGGCATGTCTATCGGGGCAACTGGAACCCACATGATCACTGTGTGGTTCAAGTCCTAGCTCCAGCACCTTGAGAAACACTGCAGACACATGCATGCATGTCCAGGATCGCAAAAGGAGAATGGAGGAGAGGGGATTGCAACACAGCCATTCCTTCCCTCTTTCTTTCTCTGATGGGGACATGCAGCCCATAATTACAGTATTAATCTTTTATTACGTTTTATTGCATTTATTACATTTTTCAGTTCACCCTTCTGAGGTTTGTGTTTACATTAGCTAAAAATTCTGCCACAAACCTTTTATTTTAACCAGCTTCTCACTTTTATAGTTAAATGCAAAATGTTAATGGATTATGTATTCCACCTATAGTCTGACAAATCCAGTTCACCTTCTTATCCAAGTAATTTTTTATGTTTTATATATATATATATATATATATACACACGGACACACATATATACATATTTTATTTATTTATTTATTTTTTGCTATAAGCTATGTGCACTTGCCAGAGACAGAAAGTGAGAAATCACCCCCCAGAGGGGATGGATACACCACAGTCCCTTCTCTTCCATTACCCTTTCATCTTTTGGGGCACAAATGCCCATGTGCCCAGCGAGAATTTTAAGCACTGGATCCAGGACTCAAACCATGGTTGACTACGTAGGAGTCCAGCGATAAAACTATTACACCATCTGTTGGTCTCATCAAAGTAACTTCTTAAAAAGTAATTTGAAGACTTCCTATAAAAAAACTATTGCATTTCATTGTATAATCCACTTTTTGGGGGTTAAGAATTAGTAAACTTATATCAAATATCTGTATAGGATCTGCATATATTTAAATATTAAAGACTTATTACATGAATTATTAAATACCAGAGATTTTCCTTTTAGTTTTTGTTTTCCCTGTGTAGTTTTATTTTCTCAGCAATGATTCATTCACTTGAATTTCAGCTATGTATGGCTTTTTTTTTTTTTTTTTTTTAAGGTTTTTGCCATAGGAGAGGGAAAGTGAGAAATTATCCCTCTCCCCCCAGGGGGGGGGGCATGGCTAAATGGGAGGGAAAGTGAGAAATTATCCCTCTCCCCCCAGGGGGCATGGCTAAATGGGAGGAAAAGTGAGAAATTATTTCTCTCCCCCCAGGGGGGATGGCTATGCTGCTATCACTTTTCCTCCATTCTCCTCTTGGGATATTGGGCACATAACAGGCATCCAGCATGATTTTCAGGCTGCCAGGTCCAGGACTCAAACCATGGTTGGCCATATCAGAAGTCCAACACCTTAACCACTGAGCTACCTGCTGGTCTCATATCTATTTAATCTTATCAGTTTTTATAGGTAATATCATAAAACAACCATTTGTATCCATATAATATCTAGATTATCATTTGGACTCCCAGATCATCAGGTAAAATCAGAATATCTTTTTTCATTAGCATTCCTTAGTTCTTAATTTTAATTAACTTATTTAATGGTTGAATTCAATGTTTTACTTATTTTTTTCCCCACTAATAAACTAATCCAAAATAGAAGAGTTATAATGTTGCTGTGAAATTAGGGAAGAGAAGGGGAAAAGGAAAAGGTTCTGCAGTATAGATCATCAGGAAATAGGAAGAAGAAATGGCCAATTTTATTTTTGCTCTGATCACATCTAAAAAGATACAGTTCTTGACTAAAGTCTTTCCCACTTATCTTTCCACATACATATGTTAATTTTTGAGATAGCAGAGATAGAATTATGATTAGTAAAGGAATACTAGGTGATTAGATGATTAATAATAGATTGGTTTTTCAAAATGTTTATTGAGTCTTCTGGGAGGGATTCTTGTCTACAGAAAGTCTGGATGGTTCAGAACTGAAAGGACCTTTGTCATAAACAGTGTGATTATTTGGCAAGTAGTACAGTCACTACTTCCTAGAAATTGTGTTGACTCTATGTTTTTAGTACTAGTCTTTAGGGAAAAAAAAAAAAGAATTGTTTAATTTTTTAAAATTAATTTATTTATTTTTCATTTGTCCAGAGAGGGACAGAGTAGAAAGCAAGCCACCAGGTCTAGGACTCAAACCACATTTGACCATGTGGGAGTTCAGTGCCCTTAAACACCACGCCACCTACTAGCCCCTTAGTACTGGTCTTTTTAAATGCTACTTACAAGTCATTTTTTTTTCCAGTGTGTTACAGTTTTACTGAAGTTTCTGTTTTGATTCAAATAAGTATATATGAATAAGGACAGTATAGTACTATATACATTGTTATTGACTCTTTAGATGTCTCTATGAAGATAGTATGGTACCGTATAAATTGTATCATTGACTCTTTAGGTGTCTTTATTAAGGCAAGATAGTACTGTGTAAATTTTATCATTGACTCTAGAATGCTACCTTTTAGATCTGTCTTGATACCTATTTTAGTAGGACTCTTTAGTAAAAGCTCTGAGTAAAGTTCTTTTGAAATGTTTGTTTCCTTATGCATAGATTCGATGTTACAGAGTCCCAGATCTTAATTATTATAATCCAGCTTCTCACAGGAACCTTGGGGCCTTGTATCTGGAACTTCACGGTAACTGCTGGAATATTCATGCTATCTGATGAACAATGGTGTGAACTCAATAAAGACAGTACCTTTGTCATGCACAGAATAATTTTTAAAAAATGAAAAATCAAAAGTCTTCCTGGTGGTATTTCACAGACAACAGGTTATTAAAAAAAATAATTTTAACATATAATAGGGCAATAAAAATCCACCCTGTTAGTTTTTTAAGAAGTAATAATTCTGGTGATTTGAACTAAAGCCAGTTGTCCCTTCCATTTACTTATTGTACCTAGTATTTTTTTACTCTACGAAATTTAAAAAATAAAAAATAAATACCTTTCCACCATTAAATGGATTTTTTTTTTTTTTTGGTATTTATGTTTTGAGAACAATTTAGCAAGCAGAGTGTTTCTTAGATAAATAAGTTGAGAGGACTCTTTATTAATGTAGAAAAAAATCTGCTTATTCTCTTTAGCCTATCTTTTAAGCTTTCTAGTACTAATTTTTCTGCTTGGACTTAAACTGATCTTGCTTTTGTGAAAAAAAAAATGCTCGAAACTATTCAAACTTTTGATTGTTTAATATTTTCCTTTCTAAGTTCTATTAAAACTAAATGTTCTTAGCTTTTCATGTCACTGTAGTCATCTTTTAAATATCTTCCTTTTTCAAGTTTTTTTGAGTACTTTTCTTTATTTGTAAATACATATTTCCCTGATGTAGTACTGAGTGTAATATATCATTTTCCTTTCATATTTGAATTATAATTTTGATGTTATGACTTCTAAAAGTTCAGTAATCTTTATTAGGAAATATATATATTCCCAGCAAGATAGTCCAGAATCCTTCACATTTTATATGAAAGGTTTTGGGTTTTTTTTTTTTTTTTTACAAAAAAATTAAAGCTTAGATTCAATTTATTTTGTAGTTCAGGGACTGTTGGTGAATTATTCATGTGAAAACCTGTCAGATCATTCTAGCAGTACAAGACTGCACTAAGTGTCTTACATTAAGTTCCTTTGTGCACCTCCCTCCCACATTTTTCTAAACCTTTTTATATTGCTCCAGTAATATAATAGAAGTAGGGAATGCCTTATTAGCAGAAGTCTTCTGTAAGTTAGATTGCAGCATTATAAATTCAGTTATTCAATGGAATTGATGGTTTGGGAGACAAAGTAACAGTGGGGAATAGTCTGAATCTTTTTTTTTTTTTTTTTTTTTTCAAAATAACCTTGGAATGTGGAGGATACTGAGAAGTACTGTAGACATATTCTAGGAGCAAAACTAAAGCCATTTGTTATTGAATTTGTAGTATATTTGTGTAATATTTGTGTGAGTAATTCCTAGGAGAGAGTAAAGTGCATAGTACAGAATAGTTTAGTATGTGCCTTTAGCATGCCTTTATTCTTACCCTGTCTTCTGGTACTTTCTCCAAAGACCTCTAGCTTTCTGCTCATTGCACATATCTAGATTTGTAATTTTTGATAGTTTTTTTTTTTTTTTTTTTTTTTTTTT